GGTTCTGTCCCGAGCTCCGGGAGGGGAGTGGACTCTACTGGCTCAGCCTGGGCATCAGGACTCCTGGGTTCTCTCCCCCCCCAGATTTCTGGATCTACCCCGGGGAGAACGTGGTGGGGCGGCTGCCGAGCTGCCGGGTCTGCCTGCCGGCCCCCTCGGTCTCCAAGGCCCACGCAGTGATCGAGGTCCCAGCGCCAGGCGGGCCCCACCTGCTCTACGACCGGGGCAGCCTGAACCGGACCCGGCGCCAGCGCGGTGTCCTGCTGCCCCACGTCCGCTACAGCCTGGAGGATGGAGACACCCTCATGTTTGGGGACGTGGGCTGCCAGTACTTCCTGCTGCCACCGGGGGGCGCCGACCCCGAGGACTCTCTGGAGGTGCCACCCACCCAGCCCCGGGCTCCCAACACCCTGGCCATTGAGGAGACCCCTGTGCCCAGCAAGAGGATGGGCTATGGGCCCCTGCTGGCCAGGGACTCTGAGGATGAGGAGGAGCTGCAGGGCAGAGGAAGGCTCCTGCACCTGCCAGGGAGCAATGGTGAGTGGGGATTGTGGGGATGGGCCTGTAATGTTATTGTAGACCCTACAATAACAAACCAGCAACCCCACGCATATACTGTTGCTGGTTTGTGTTTTTGTTTGGGCTCCAGCTTCCACCTAAATTACATCCAGCTATTGCATTATTAGGGCAACCCCATGATGTTATGGTAGGCCCTACAGTAACAAACCAGGCTTGGCACAAGTGGGGCTGGGGTGAGGCAGGGCTGCCAGTGATTCTATGTCTGGGCTCCTGTCCTCAAGTTCACACAGATCCCTGGTGTGAAGGGACCCTATGGTATTGTGGTAGACCCTACAATAACAAACCAGCCATGGCATGAGTGTGGGGGACTGGGCATGATTCTGTGTCTGGACTCCTCCCTCTTCCACAGTCTTGGCACTAGGGCAACCCTATAATATTATGGTAGGCCCTACAATACCAAACTAGCCACGGTCTGCACGCAGGGGTCTGGGAGTGAGTCTATATTTGGGTTCCCACTTCCACACAGATTAGGCACAGCCCTGGCAACACCTCCCTATGATATTATGGTAGGCCCTATAATAACAAACCAGGCATGGCATGAGTGTGGGATTCAAAAGTTGAGGGGTTGGGACTGAGTCTGTATGGACTCCCTCTTCCCGCAAGGTTACACACAATCGTGGCACTAGGGTACCTTATGATATTATTATAGACCCTACAATAACAGTAGCCACGTGGGGGCATGAGTTGGGTAGTGGGAGATTCTGTTGAGGCACTCTTCCCCTCCCCTGCCCCCACTCCCCTGGCTATATATACCCTACAATAACAAACCAGTGTTAGTGGGCGAGCGTTCCTGGGTTCTGTTCCTATGGAGTCAGGGCTAGTCACTGGAGCAGGGGAGGGGGTTGGGAGTCAGGACTCCTGGTTTTGTTTGCCTCGTCTATCCCTCTGTACTACAGTAGACCCTACGATAACAAATTGGGGTTGGGAGGGATGAGGGTCGGGAATTCCATGTGTGGGCTACCCCTCTGGTTACTGACAGCGCCAGGCACCCTACGATATTATGGTAGACCCTACGATAACAAACCAGGAGGCAGGCTATGCCCCCATTCTGCGGGTGGGGGAGACACAGGCCTAGATTCCACGTTAACACCCTGTGTCCATCTTGTCCACCAGGCTCTGACTCCTCTTCTGACACTGGCGTCCGTTCCGACGCAGCCGTCTCCTCCCCGGGCGCAACCGTGGTGCCGGAAAGGTAGAGACGGGCCTAGCAGGGGGAGCCACGACTCCGGCTCTGGGAGGGGAGCAGGGTCTAGTGGTTAGAGCGAGGCGGGATGTGCTGCAGGGAGCGGGGCAGGAGGCGCTCTCCTCC